GGGGACTAAGACCTTCGCGATCCGAGCCCGAGAGACCGACCCCAGGCTCGAGGCCACCGACCAGATAATCGCCGTCGCTGACACCCTGCTCGCCGCCGAATCCCAGATCAACAGCCAAAACCAGCAGCCCGACTGGTACGCTATTCTACAACTCGCCCAGTACACTCAGAACCTCGAAATCGTCGCGACTCAGTACCGCCGACTCGCTCTCCTGCTGAACCCCCACCGGAATCGCTTCCCTTACGCCGATCATGCCTTCCGGCTGGTCTCCGAGGCCTGGAACGTCCTCTCTAACCCCACCAAGAAGGCCATGTACGACCACGAGTTGAGCATGTTCAACCGGTTCGACTCGCCCCCATCCGGGTCGACTCAGCTGTTCGAGAGGCAATTCTTGCAAATGCATCATGTTCAGCAACAGCCGCAGCAGCCACCACCACCACAGCCACTTCTATTTCATCCCCAACCGTCACAGCTACTACAATTCCAGCCTCAACCGCCACCGCCGCCACAACCACAACCAGAAGTGCAGAGACCACAGCCACAATGGAATTTTCAACAAAAGCGACAACAACCACCACCAGAGCAGCAACATCAGCAGCAGCACCATCACCACGAACCTCCTCAGCAGCAACAATATCAGGAACTTCCCCAGCTGTGGCAGCAGCTGCAGCAACAACAGCAGCAACAAGAAGTGAGTAAAAACCCTAGAAGTAAGGACGGAAGACCGTCGATGGAGGAGGAAAGGCCAATTCCGATTCCCATCAATGTGACGGAGCCTGCACCTCCGGCCTCTGAGTCAACTCCTCCGCCCTCCGAATCAACTGGCCCTGTTGAGTCAACTCCTCCTTCTGAGTCAGCTCCCCCTTCTGAGTCGACTCGGCCTCAACAGTGTCCAAAACGGGGAGCTTCTGGACTGCATGTCCTTACTGTTATAACCTCTTCGAGTATCCTAGCGCTTACGCGGATTGCATGCTCCGGTGCCAGAATTGTAAGAGGGCGTTCAATGCAATGGCGATAGCTGCACCGCCTCAGGCGGGGAAAGATGTGAACTTCTGCTGTTGGGGGTATTTCCCATTGGGGTTACTGGAGAATAGTAAGGATACAGGCGGGTCTGCTGAGGTGTGGACACCATTTTCGACAATGTTTGCTTGCCCAATACAAGGGAAGAAGAATACCGCACGAGCCAAGATTGCTAATTCGGGGCCAAGGGTCTATTATGATGATGAGGAGGCGTTGCTTGATGTTTCGGACCCAAGTGAGGACTCTGATGATGATGATGAGTGGCAGAGGGTTAGGAGGAAGAAGAGAGTTGTAAAGGCAAAAGGTAAAGCTTCCACCGCTAAGACTCCTGTGAGAGCTTCGGATAGATTAAGGAAGGGGAGTCAGAATGCTGGTGGGCAGGGTAAGGAGGGTACGGGTGGGAGTGTGGGTGCTGGGTCTGTGTCGAAGGCAGAGTCAAGTAAGAAATCAACTTCTGGTGCAAGAAAGAGAAGTGCTGCTGCATTGGGGAAGTTGGATTTGAATGTGGAGTTTAGTAATAATGAGGGGGAAGAGCCTGCGGCTCAGACAATGAGTGAAGGGAATGGGACAGCAAATGGGGAGGAGGATAATATGGAAGGGATCGGGTTTTTTGAAGGTCTTGACGAGTTTTTGAGTAGTCTACCCATACTTAATGTTGTGGGAGATGACAAGGTTAAGGCAAATTAGGGAAGTAAGGGTAGAATTTTCCTTTTTGTCATTGCTGCTTTAGCTGTTGTAATTGCTTTATGGATGCATGTTGTATTGAATGATGTAGAGCTTCTATGCCTTTTGTTTCATGGCTCTCGCTGTTTGAATATGTTATATAATCTGCAGCAATGTGAACTTAATTCAGTTTTTAGTTTTAGAAAATGTTACTGTGATTTCCGTGGATTATCTTGCGGTGGAAGGGTTGATCTTTGAAGTTTGGACTTCAACCCCAAAATAGACTAACATGGGGCATCAGTTCTAGTGATAATCCGATTTTTCCGTTGTGCTGAAATCATGAAATCTTCGTATACTATAATGCAGAGGCTTTTCTTTTCATCAATCATGGTTGAAGCTTCTTTATTTATTATCTTATTGCTGATCCTATGACAAGGATTGTGTTAGGAGACCACTAACATTTTTATGTTGGTGTGCTATAAGCAATTTCACATTCTTTTGGGATTAGAAAGGAAATGGAATGGGCCTCTCTTGCGTTATTTACTTGATATATTATTTATTATCCCTAGGTGTCTTATAGGGAACTCAAAACCTGTTTTTCCCAGATGGTTTGGGATCGACTATGAATAGTATAAAATGTAGCAGTTGTGAATGGAAGAAAGCAACACAAGGAGTAAGAACTGATGAAAAGGAATATCTTTAGTGATGCTACTCTTGAGTTGGGCAATGAACTGATGAAAAGGAAGATAATTTTCGTGTATGTTGGGAGAATGTCAGTTTGATGGGTCTAATTTCCCCGACCATGATGGAGGTTGCCAGGTCTTTTGGGGTTATTCAAAGAGGTCATGTTTATTGAGGTATCCGGCCAAGCTTTTGGAGAAGAACAGTTGCAAACATGATGGTAAAGCGTATTTGGCTCGAAGTGATGCCTTTGTTGTTCTTTCTGGAGCATATGGAATGTCTGTTGGGAATCATAGCACTGGCCCAACTTGGGCTCATAAAAAGCCAGTCGGCGCCAAGTTTAGATGGGTATTCAAATTGCATTCTTTCACTGATGACAATGGTATTATTGACATTGAACGCTGGAAATGGAGCAACATGGTAATCACCAAGCCGTAGTGATTGTAGGCTTTTCATTTCTAAATTGATTCCTGATGTGATTCATCAATGTTTTAGTTCTGTGGAAGAATCTATTTATACAAGGTCCATTATCATTTATTTCTCCGCATATTCTTGTTCTTTAAATATAGTGCAATATGTCGATCTATACTTGCTAGAGGACTCAAAAGGTTGCATAAGGGTACTGTTGGGTTTTGTAGAGGAAAGGAGGCTAGAGTTTTGTGGGTATGGGAAGTATTTTACGAAGAGCGGTCATTAGTGTACCATGTGTATTGCGGTCTTGATGTGCCGTGGTCATTGTTAGTAAACCATATGTATTTCGGTCTTGATGTGCTCTGTTGTTCCCGTGAATCACTTGTATATGCCCTTACTTATTAGAGAGTAAAGGATTACTGTATTGTTCCTAGGTTAGTGCCCCGGTGCTCTGTGGCAGGATAACTAATTATCTGTTTGTGGTGGTTTTTCATTTCATTCTTTTTACAACCCGAACAAATCTGCGTACCGGCCTTTTGATTTCTAAAACAAATATTCTTGGGTGCTTAGCAGCACTTTGATTCTGGAATTTTTGTGTCTTATTCTACTAGACGTGGATAATTGATTTACTCTTTGGGCAGCATGGTCCTTCCTTTCTTTATTTGATGACTGCCTGTTGTGCAACAGTCTGCATATCATGTTGTCTTTAGAATTATTTCTTCATTCTCTTCGCTATGACGTTAGAAGTTGTAATTTAATGTTAGGTAATGTTAGGGTGGAAAAGGTGCGTCGGCATCGGTATGCAGTGAGAATATGTTTTCACGATGTTCACCCGAGTACTTGCTATTTATGCTGCGGTGGCCGGTTTGTATGGGTTATGCTGTATGGGTAGGGCAGCAGTTATTGATGTTTGCAATCGTGGTGTGTGCACTTCCTTTAAACCTTTGCTTTGGCATCATTGCCCATCATTCAGATGTAATAGTCTCGTATAATTTCACACGTTACATACTACAAGGCCGGTGGACTTGCGACGACGAACTCTGCAGCATCGCGACGACGAACTCTGCAGCATCGTCTTCCTTCTCAAGTACGGCAACTCGCCTTGAAAGCGAATGTATCGAAAAGGGAAACATTTCAGGCGTTTGCTGAAAACTGCTGAAGGAGACTCAATTTAATTAGAGATCCTCCAACAAACTCCACAAAATTTACTTTGCAACTAAACATGTGGAGTCGCGTTATCAAAACGGGAAGGCGGTGAGGGAGGTAGGACAATCGAAAGACGAGGATGGCGTCGGTTCGGTTGCGGAGAGCTCCGGTGAGTTTGAGGTGCTCCCTAACTTAGCATTTATATATATATATATATATCTAAAAAATAGTCTGGGCTACTGAGTAGTTTGACTTTATATCTGTTAGATTAGTAAACCAACAAAAGTAATATTTCTTCAATTTAATTATGACCATTTATTTTTCATACTGTTAAGTAATCTGAATTATTGAACAAAAAAATTGTAGTAACGCATGCACCTCTTGAGCAAATAGGACAGATAGGAAAAAGAAAATAGGACAGATAGGAAAATAGTTAGCAAAGTGATGAAATTAGGGTTTTACCATAAAACCAACTGACAATATGGGAAGTAGCCCAAAACCATATAAGCCCATAGCATATCTTGTCCTTCAAGGATATGGGACAACTCTTAACATGCCCCTGCATGTGTGGCGTATTTTTAAGCCTGTGTGGCGTATTTTTAAGCCTACACGTGGACAACGTGTGGGGTGACGAAGAGTGCGTGTAGCCGTTTTAGCTTCACACAAGGACAACTGCTTTGATACCATGATGAAATTGGGGTTCCATCATAAAACCAGTTAGCAATATAGGAAGTAGCCCAAGACCATATAAGCTCATAGCATATCTTGTCATTCATTGATGTGGGACAACTCTTAACACAAAGTGGCACAAGAGAAAAGAAAAGTGGACTCTCCACATGGTGTCCAAACATCTCATTTCCAAATGGTGCATTTTTGCTCATCACCCTCAAGTAGTAGTAATGTTTGTCACTTATTTATCATCATTAAATAAGTTTAAATTTTGATATTTGTATTTATCAACTACATAGATATCAAAATTTAAATTTATTTAACAATAATAAATAAAATAGTAAGCATTACTAAGAGCAAAAATATTTTCATTTTTCAAAAGACAGTTGGATAACGTCAGGATTCAGGAAGCAGCTACTTAGTGTGTCTGCGTGTGTGCAGAGCATAATAGCATAGAAGCTATAGATTTGATGTACTTTAACTTCGATTTCTCCGTCTTTGTGGGAGGCCGACAAATGTCTCTTGATCCGACCAACCAACTCACCCACTCCCTTCCTTTCCCCTCCATCTTTTTAATCGCTCTCTTCTCTACAGACTGAAACCCCATTTCCCATCTCATAGCTCTCTGTCTTCCATGGCTGTTCTCGCGCCAACCTCTGTCTCAAAATACTCAATCTCCAATTCCTCCTCCTCCTCGGATTTTCACAGAATCCCATTCAACACACGACCAGTAAACCTCCTCTTTCTTTCTCTCTTTACCATTTCATTTATTCATTTGTTTCTTGGTTTTGTTTATTTTTGGTCATTTTTGCTGCAGATCTTTGGTTCTAAGCTGAAATCAGGAAAAGTTCAGCCGACCCAACTGAGATTATTGACTACTTCCGAGTAAGATCCTGAATTCATAACCTTTCTGCTCAAATTCTTATTATTTTTGTTATGTTTTCTTAATTGGTATGTCTGTTTCAGGTTTCATGATCTAGTTTTGTATTATTATTTTGAATGTTTTGCATTATATCCTCTTTCCAAATATGTCCATTTGAGCTCCAAAATTTACTAATTTTGACTGATTTGAGAAAGGAAATGTAAATGACATTGAATTTCTGTCAGCTCCATGAAATTTTTTAATTTTTAAATTTGTGTAAGAAAAAACAAAATGAAAACTAATGAAAAAAACTTAAAAATTTTGAGTTGTAATTATAAGGACAAAATAAAGGGTAAAGTGAATAGTACCAATATTGATTTTTTAGTGTAAAAATATGGTTTTTTTGTTAAAGTAAACAGTACATAGAGCTTTTCGTTAAAGTTCCCAAAAACAAAACCAGAATCATGGCTAAAGTTACTGGTATAATCTGGGAAAATTTGATTTTTGGCTTGGATGTTATTAACCGTACTTTTGGTTTAGTCAGTTGTTCATACCTCAGCTACAAATCCATGGACTGCTCCTCTATTAGTGAGATCAATTTGATGGATTTACTTAGATGTGTTGTGTGCCATCACAAAGGTTCTAATTTTCTTTGTTTGATGGTTTGTATATAGGAGATGTTTACAATATAAGATTACGACTACATGCAACCTTCAGATTGATCTAAGAGATAAGAATGTCTCTATTTTTTTTACTCGCCATCCGAGTAACCTGTTGAACTCAAAATCCCAAAGATAATTGGTTGGTGCTGAAATCCTTTCCTTTCGGCATATTTGCAGCAATTGTCCAGGGTTGACTGTAAAGGCTTCAAGAGAGTCCTTAGGGATCACCGAACAACATAAAAACATCAAACTGGAGAGAGTAGCTGAAACTGATGATCGGAGCGAATTGTTTGAGGATATGAAACAACGGTTTCTTGACTTCAAAAACCATAAATACATGTAGGTGCCCAAGGACTCAGGTCTGAAGGTTGTTTAGTTTAAAGTAAAGTAATTCTGTTTCCTAATTTGGCTTTTATTATGAATAGGGAAAACTTGGAACATTATCAAAACCTTGCAAAGGGTCAAGCGCCAAAGGTTGTATAGTATACGTGTAGATTCTTTTTTCTTTTCAAATTTAGTTATTAACAGTTGATGTTCATAAGTATTCTTAATACTAGGACATGTCGTTCATTTGCTGTTTGCCTCAATCTGGTGTTGAGTGTCAGGGAGAATATGTGTGTGTACTGATGTTTCTCGAACAGTTCATGGTCATTTCTTGTGCAGATTCTAGGGTATGCCCCTCAACCATTCTGGGATTCCAACCGGGAGAAGCATTTATAGTGCGCAACATTGCGAATTTGGTGCCCTCCCTTGAGGTATACATTGTAAATCAAAGTTGAATTATTTTGTTTCATTTCTGATTTGTGGAAGGTTACGAAAAAGTGAACACTCACGAATCAAATGATATATTATTATCCACTACATTTGTTTTGTTATTTTTTTCTGTTTTTGCAGAGTGGACCCTCAGAAACAAATGCTGCATTGGAATTCTCTGTGAATTCTCTGAAAGTAAGTATACTGGGAATAAATTCTAAAAGAAACTTCCAATTATTTCCTTGCTAGTCTAATCCGTTACAACCAAATCCCTATCTAAGTAATGGCTTTAAAGTTATAGAGTGGCAATAGGGAGGTACAACTTGAAAAGTTGAGTTTCCCAGAATGAGTGCGATTCTTAATAGAAAAGGGAAGCAAGAAAAGCTACATGGAAATACATCCTTAACCGTAGTTATTTTGTAGGTCGAAAACATATTGGTCGTTGGTCACAGCTGCTGTGGAGGCATTCGTGCTCTTATGAGCATGGATGATGAAATAGAGAAAAGGTTCACCAAATTTCTTCTTGTATACTTTTCAAGTTGTTGCATGTGGTCTTTGTGTACGGTTGCTTTTTATTTGTTTCTCCAATAACAGTCGACCTATGGTTTTCACTTTGCCAAAACTCTTTTATGCAGTAGCTTTATCCAAAATTGGGTTGTTGTTGGGAAGGATGCAAGGTCGTGGACTAAGGCTGCTGCCTCCACGCTCAGTTTTGACCAGCAGTGCAAACATTGTGAGAAGGTAACATTTTATATTTCTTATTTTCTTTTAAAGTAACGTAATTATTCTCCATTTGTATTTTTCTTCATTTCATCAGTATATGACTATAACCTAAATGAACTTCTAGTTTGTATATGTTCAAACTTGTATCAGCATTCTGTTGTACTGGTATATTAAATTCCTGATCCATTTATTTTAGTCGTCGTTGACCTTGTATGTATCTGGGAGTTAAACCAAATTCTTTTGAAGGCCATAGATTCTCCCATTGCGGCATGAATTTTGGTTGTAACTAATGTTGGGTGTCTTTTATTATAAAAGGATGCTCCAGATTCATAAAAAATGTTGCCCATTTTGAATGATATCCTTGTGCAGGAATCAATCAACCGTTCATTGTTGAACCTGCTCACGTACCCGTGGATAGAAGAAAAAGTGAAGCAAGGTGTTCTTGCTGTACATGGTGGTTATTATGACTTTGTTGAATGTACATTTGAGAAATGGACGCTCGATTATAAGGAAGGCAACTTGAAGGAGAAACATGGCAGAATTTCTGTCAAAAATCATTTGTTTTGGTCCTGATTTCATCTGTGGCCTTGTATGATCTAATTCACCCAATAAGTTATTTAAAATATATGTTGTTTGTATGGTGATTAAATTAAGACAATTCGAAAAATAATGTGAAATGATTTCGTTTGTATTGAAATAAAATAAAATAAAACAATTTTTATAATTTGTTGTGTTTTTCATCTGACGGAGGTTATGCTCATTGTTTTCAAGTTGATGCTTTCTTTTCTTTTCTTTTGGGTCAAGAAACTTTCACTCTTTTGATCAGTAGTTATCCGAAGTAAAGTTACCAAAATTAAATTTAACGCGACTCTATGTTAAACATTTTATCAACCTGGCATCGAGCTATTTTTCTGTAAGAAGACATTTGAAGACATTGATCGTATGATTAAGAGATGCAACTCAAGTTTAAGTCGGTCAATTAGCAAAGTGTGGAGCATGAAGTTAAGAACAAGAACAATTTCTTGTTGATATACGTCCTCAATCGCACAAGTTTTGAATCCAAGTAATTGTACGAAATCCAAGTTTTTCTCTTTGTACCAAGTTCACCGTTGCTTGATGCGGAGAGAGAGAGAGAGAGAGAGAGAGAGAGAGAGAGAGAGAGAGAGAGAGATTCAAGTTGAATCAAGGTTTTGGTTTGCAGATTGAGGACGGAAAGAGAAAGAGAAAAACTTGTGCGAGCTCTAAAGTCTAAGGCTTTCATATGATATGGGAATAATGAGATTATGAGTAGGGAGTCATTAGAGTTGGTTTAACTTGGTTTAATATTTGAGGATAGGGTTCCAGTTATGACCGTTACAAAATTTGGAAGACAATTAGCTCTCCACCGCCTTACTAATTCATGTAATCTCAGTTCATTAAATTGGGGGAATTAAATAATCAAAGCGAAATACCTTTGTGCCACGGCATTGGTTCAAACCCCTTTGGCTCCCTAATCTAATATCTAATTTAACAAATCTATCATTTGATACAAAAAAATAATAATTAAAGCGAAATACCTTTCCCGTTCATATATGCAAGCTTATTCATTTGTGTCGGCAAATTTGGGAAACCTGAAACCATTGGCTTTAAAAACTTCCCATCACCCTCTTAACGTTGGGACATTACATGTGCTTCATTGTGTTTGGTTCACATTTTTACTACAGTTGGCCATAAGGGCATTTTTGTCATTGTGTATGTTATGTCAAGAAACTCGTGTAGTTCATCCTAAGTGGAGAGATTTTTTAGTGTTCCAGTAAAAGAGTCTGGTATACTAAGTGTAATAATACAATTGATTGGAAACTTGAAAACAAAAATTTCCAACCAATTGTAATGACATACGAAACCATTATAAATGCACACTAAAAAATAGTGGAGAGGCGTGCTGCCGACGGCCGTTCTTATATTTGTTGGGTATGATTCTCTGGATTATATTCCGCTGTAAGACGATTTGTATTTGTTAGGGTTGACTGAAATGCAATGGAATGATGCGTAGAAGGATGAGAATTGAATGATATAGAGACACAAGCGTGAGTGGTACAGAAGTTTTGCGAAGGCAGGTTAATGTGCAAAATTGGGCATGAAAATTATGTTTGGGTGTGGTCGATATATTTGTGAATGAAGGTCAATCTAGCTGTGATTTGTCATGTGTCCAACTACATTGGTATTTTGTGAAGGAAGCTGCTATTTATACATTTTTACTTTCTACACATTCTTATTAATTTGTTGTTATTAATCTTCTTCAATTCATTTAATCCGACGATCGAAAATTAAGAGACGTGTGTAAGAGGTAAAAATGAGTATGTGGATAACACTGCATTTTGAATCCAAGTAATTGTATGAAATCGAAGTAATTGTAAGAAGGCAATGATAAATGGAATTGTTGTGTGGAAGTGATAAGAATCTACATTTAACTGGATGCAAGTAGATTTTGTTGTTAAAACTAAATTTAACTGGATGCAAATTGTGTAACAGTTGGTTGTAAATATTAATTGTAGATGAATAAGCATTGGTTTGTCATTTATAAGATCGCAATAAGACTTTCACTTACAAATAAAAAGTAATATCATTAAATCGTAGTATTAAGCGACAAATAGTGAACAAAATTTTGAATTCTATATGAATTTATAAAAGAATGCAATATATAAGTCAAGATTTGATTCCATGATTGTCAAATAGATGCCGTAGTGAGCAAAATTAGATAACCTAATAACTCTACCTTTTACCGCGGAAGAAATAATCTAACGTTGCATGCAATATATATCTTTAAACCAGACGAGCACGTAGTGAGTCATAATTGGCTAAATACAGCCAACCGCAACCGAAGCCAACAACTTAAGAGACCGACTCTATCTCATTGACGAGTAGTGGACAAGAAGGTGAACTAATTAACAACTCAAATATGTATGGGTCTTCATGTCAAGTTTTTCCTAACCATATTTGAGCAAACCAACAACAACACAACCATAGAAAAAAAATAAATATAATATATATTTCCTTGGCTATATATACATGCACAAACTCATCATCAACATTAACTCAACTGGTCATATATACTTAGTTGCCCATTCGAATTACTTCCAAACCTTTTAGATCGATCAGTTTGAATCAATGGCCAATTACAAGCACTGCTTCTTTGCTGCCATCTTGTTCATTATCCTGTGTTCTTCAAGCATCCATGTCTCCGTAGCGGCTCGCAATCTTCTCCAGACGACGGTACCGTCTTTGCCTAAACCTGCCACAACACTGCCACCTTTCCCTCCCCTGCCAACACTGCCACAACCCACATTGCCTAACTTGCCAAACTTGCCAAACTTGCCAAACAACCTACCATCTCTACCTATTCCCACCGGCGGCGGCTCCACACAGACACAGCTGCCTCCACTTCCCAATTTCCCTACTACATCATTCCCTGCTATCCCTAAGGTTACACTGCCTCCAATACCAAACTATCCCTCAGTACTACCAAACAATTTCCCTACTATAATTCCATCTTTCCCATTTTTCTCTCCACCACCTGCAGCCGGTAAACCGTAAGTCATGCATATATGTTCGCACATGCAGACGCAGCAACGCTAGCTGACTAGCTACTATTGGATTGGATCTTCATTTTCTCTTTTTATTAATATGCTTTTGTTTATGCACGGTATTGGTTACGTATGTCTTTGATTATAATATGTACTGTATGCCTTGATATGCTTTATGTCCAATGAAGCTTTATTTGGTGTGTTGTTATACATATTTCAAGTTCATTTGTGCTTTGTATTTATAATGTGAAATCGAACCTATAACTTAATTTGCTTTCTTCATAGACTTCGTGGGAAAATTAAGTTTATGTAAATTGATAGGATTTTTACCACCTGCAAAAGTAGGGATAAAAACACCTAAAATACTTGCAAGAGAAACAAGATTGTCGTAGTATAGTTGGCTCAAGCAAGGTTCGTTTTCCATAAGGATTAATTTAAATAGATTAATGCCAAATCAATTCTCAACTAATTATTTAGAACAAAATTTTGGAAAAGGGTGATTTAATGACCTAAATTAAGAAAAACGAAATTAATTAAAAAGATTACTTAAAAATTGCAATTTTAAAGAAGGAGAAAGAAACAATTTTTAGAATTCAAAGTGATAAAGTACTAGGGTTCCGCCGTCACCCTAACAATCCTAGGTAGTTCTGCTAATTCCTTATGAATTACACATGCATATTTTGAAGGTTAGGTTTTCCTGAAGTATGCCCTACTTGGAACCTCTAACATAAACGTATATCTAACATGCAACCCGTCCGTGACGTCCAGATCGAATGTGAACATGCAAGACTCATTAAGTTTTATGAAAACCTTTTGAAAAATCATATAACCCTTAAAACGTGTCATCCATCCTAAGAGGTTACACATATTAACCACAAGAAGCCTTAGTCAATTTTAGGGATAGCCCCTCCTCCAAAATTGCATCAAATTACTTTTTTAAATATCCTAATGGTCGTGAATCACTAAGACAAATAGATAGTTTAAAGTATGTGATTAACAATCCAAAACTTGCATGCATAAATTCATATGAAAATTAAAAGGAAACTACATATTCTTGCTAAGGATCATGGCCTCACCCTAGCAAAAAGGATTAGTTACACATATTCATAATTTAAATCAAAAGAATTATATTAAACTAGAAATAGAATGAAAATACCTTTTAGAATAAGGTCTTGAAATCTCTAAGCTTTGCCCAAAGTCTTTTCTCCAAAAGTTACATCCGATACATCCCATCAAACCCTAGGTTTGCCAAAAGGCTTATTTATACTACTCTCATTAAAATCCTCCTAGTAAAAGGTCTTAGAAATAGACTAGGAAACTAAATAAATTAAAATAAAATAGGAAATATAATCCTAATTGACTTGGTAAATTTGCCCAAAATCTTACACAGCCACGTTTTGGACCCAAATCAGCTCCAAAACTGGCCCAAAATAGCTGAATTTAAAGCTTTGACTATTCTGAACACTTCTCCAAAAGGCCACGAACACATCCGAAGTCATCTTGGGCTCCAAAAACGTAGTTTAAGCCCATAAACATTACTTTCCAGAAACGTGCACTGCTCATTCATTTAATCTCCAGAAAATAACCGCTTGGTAGAAATTGTTGGGATTTTGACACTGACAAGCTAAGGAACACACGAACGTCCTCTAATTTGAATCACTCCAAAATTCGTCTGTTTGGTCACTTTTGGCTCCAGAGGAAGTCGAATGTTCTATGTTAAAAATATAAAGCAAAGTATCAAAATTCTACCAAAATAATTATCAAATTATACTAAGAATAGGGTAAAATATATAATATGATTTTGACTCGTCATAAATTTCTGATATCTTATTCCCATCTATAGTGGAAGTATATATATATATACAAGAGGACTTTACAGGTTATTATAAATATAATAGGATACCTAATTTCCATGAAATTATAAAAGTGAGTTGTAGAGCGCTTTACTCGAAATTGTTTTCGTTAGGAGATCAGCCAGTTGGTCTTTTGATTCACAAACTGAATTGAACAATCTAATCTTTCCGCTTCTCTTAAATGAAATATATGACCACCTTAACATGCTTAGTACAAAACTAAATTATGAGCAATGTTATTTGCAGTTTTATTGTCGCCATATAGATTCACTACACAATCAGAAACCCAATTTTGTGACAAACCTCCCTAACCACAAAAGTTTACAAAGTCCCTTAGCCATTTCTTTATACTACCTCTTTTAACCACTAAAACTAAGTATAATAACTTGGAAAATTAAAATGAAAACCGAGACAATGAACTTCTTATACTTGGATAAACCAAGAGGGACAATGATAATAAATAGATAACTGCCAACTGCAAAGTTTTCAATGGAACTGTTTGGACACTATTTTTTTCACTATCGACCGGTCAAAGTGATTTTTAATCATTTTTCTAGATATTATGGTTTTAATAATCATGGTTTTATCTGAGGAGTTATTGAAAATTATCGTAAAATTGAATGGATAATTAAAGAGTCTTGGAGATTGAGATGCTATCGGGTTTTAGAATATCAAGATAAGGCTTGACTGACCATGTGGAAATTATCTTGGTAGTCTGATAGCAAATTATCAAGAAAAGGCCGAATGTCAAGATAATATTGAAGATTATTTCAAAAGTTGGTGTCTACGTGGAATATAGGTCTAATAGCAAATTGCATTAAGATAATTTACAAAAGTTGGATTGGTTATGAGGAAATTGAAGGTGATTTCGAGTATATCGAGATAATATTCCAAGGAGTTGTAATGCCGTCAGACACTGCAGTACGACTTGGGCATCAAGGAATTTGTCTCTATAAATATACAAGAGATCTTCAATTTAATACACAAATCAGCCTCTACATAAACCATGTCACTTTTTTGAGAAAAATACTAAGTAGTTAAATGAAGTATTTCAGAGGCAACAGTTCGTCTTAGGAGTCTTAACAGTTTAGTTAAACACCACGTTTTACAAGTTATCCATCTCACGTCATTGGCGAAAAGTTTTTGGCCGAATGAGGTCACTTCATTAGCCTTCTCGGCAAAATGGAGTGTTTTTATGATTGAATGCTCCCAAGTTACATTCAGAGTTCGACATACCGCGACGGCCGAACTACTTTTACAATAAAAACGCTCATTTCCCTTGAGTACTTTTGTCCCTATAGATGCCATTTCGACAGACCTAAACTCTTACCAATATAGTCAAGGTTGCCGAACCCGGTGCACAAGATCCAGAGCTTCATAGTGAGTTGCATAACCTTGTCTTCAAGTTATACAACTTAAAGTCTACAGTGTTCCTTCCTCGGCCGAAGTCGCTTAATTCAGGAATCAAAAGTGCATTTCACCACATCCATTACATTCAAAATATTCACCCAATCGAGTTCGGTAGCAAACTGATACGCCCGCATCAGCAATTAACCACCTAAAAGTGTAATTAGCTCCTTAGTTATTTCGGCATGTATACCATGTAGTCTCTGTGATTTATAGGGTCAACAGAAACGGTGTGCAAATTATTGGTACTTTTGCTGCTGCTATTCTTAAATTTGACCGAAACCTGCATCTGACATATGTGTCTTACTCATTTACACCCACATCAGAATTTTACAGCATTCAAAACCAAATATAAATTCGATGGTACCCCATCAAACTACCAAACCTTTACTCAATTTTTTCCGGGGGGTCCAAATTAAAACCACTAGCTTTCAACCATTCGTATATAAATTCACCATCTCCTGGGTCTTTTCTCCCTCAAGTTAACCTTGTTGAGTTTCCTCGTGAATTAGCTAATTCGAGCTCACTCCCTTTGGTTTGGTTCCACATCACAAGTCCAAAATGGCATATAACTGGAAGTGGTTGTTTGTCACTTCTATCCTTTTCACATTATCAATTTCTTCAGCCTTGGGCGGCGGCGCCGCCCCTCGAAAACTCTTAGCACCAACCTTTCCTTATAATGTGCCCAATATTAATATTCCAAACCTCAACTTTCCACCTCTGCCACCCACAATCGACCTTCCTTTTCTGCCACCCACACCACTTTGGCCAGAATACAGGTTGCCTCCCCCTATTACTTCACTTCCAGATTTCCCTCCAGTTCTCACTTTCCCCATCGCCTCTCCACCTTCAATTACCACTACCCCTTAATTAAAACCATCAATATATACACACATAAATATATATATATATATATATATTATGTCTATGTCTTTTATATATTATAAGTTGGCATTTGCCAATATATCTTGGCACTAACTTGCTATTGTATGGTATTATTATAGTTTCCAAATGCAGTTAAATAAAGGTGGATTCATTGGATCCCTCTAGCTAGATCTGTTTTGGGGACCTCATTCGTTTGGTGTTGCAGTGTTGATACAGTGATGAATGCTATTAGTCAATTGAGCTACAAGCATTTTGTGAGCAACTTTAAACATTTATCGATATAGTTTGTGTAAGCCGAAGAAAAATTGAATAATTTTGTAATGACCAATTTCCATATAATATTGTGGCGTGGTGTATCATTGCTCTTGCTCAATTGTAATAAAATCTTTCGACACTATAATAAGCGACCAATTACCGGTTATGGCTCATTGCTTCAAACATTTAACATTTCTCCTTTCTATTATAAAAAGGTTAATTGAGCGATATTCTAATTTAATTTAAACTAAATTACATAAAGAGCAGAGGTCGCACTTGGTGCGATGGCAAGTGCCTTCGCCCATAAGCTGTAGATCTCGGGTTCGAGACTTGGGAGCAGCCTCTCCATAAATGGGGGTAAGGTTAGCCGACATTCACCTCTCCCAGACCCTGCGTAAAGCGGGAGCCTTGTGCACTGGGTACGACGACCTTTTAAATTACATAAAGAGCCATTTGAATTTGGGATGAAGATGAAAAGTAACTGCTGTAGCCAACTTGTCTACACATTTCTAAAGCACTAAAAACGACACTAAAACTAGAGATCAATAGTATTAGTATAAACATCAACCTTGCAAACCGACGCTGAAATTGGAGATCCTACCATTCCTCTCCTACCAAAAATGTTCATGTACGGAGGAAATATCTATTTACGTTCGCTTATAAAACGTGCCAACAGCACAGCAAGGAAAAGTTCCATCTCTTCTTCCATCCCATTCATCTCTTTCTCTTGGCACCAGCTCCTGAACCTCGGCCACCTTTTTTTCTCAACGGCAGCAGCAGAACCACCTCTTCGTCGGCCAGCTGGTGTCTTCTTTGCACTTGTATTTGGCGTACCCTTCAAATTGAATTGTACCATACAACATAGTAACCCCATTCAGCACATCTTCAAGTTAACTTGAAACAATACCACAGACATAGGGCTCGTTTGGTGTCTAGGGTTGGATTTGATTATATAACCCATTATATTCAAGGTATGGTTGAAGCAAGAAATGAAAACCGTGTTTAAATTGAGGTGCAAGCCAGATGGGGTAAGTTTCCTTCACTCTAATCATTCATCTCTACCTTTATCATACCTTGAATTCTTTGAATTATCCTATCCAATCCAATTCAATCCTCTGATAAAGTATCAAATTCAAGAAAACAGATTTTGTGTTCGAACCTTGTTTCTCTGCGCCGGAGGATCAGAATCTTACACCAAAACAATCCGACCTCCTTCCACAGAAGGCAAATGAACAACCCTCTCATTGCACCATCCCTGCAAAATTTGGTCAGCAATTTGAGTAAACAAGCACCCATTTCTAACAATCTCATTTTTTTATAAATGGACCTAACAAAGGAGACACAAAACCTATAACGAATTTGCACCTTGAATGGAATTCCATTGGTATAGTCCTTGTGAAATGCCCTGTGAGCATCCTGTGAGCCTTCTCATCGTCTTCGTCTCCGGCGGTATACTTATCCCCGCAAGTGGAGCACGTGTGCAGATTGAAATCAGACAGTCCATAGTCCAGATAGAACTGAGAATAGCTTCTCTTCTTGTTCTTGATCACTGTTCTTCCCAATGTGGTCGATTCCGGCTTCCCGGAATTACAATCAGAAAAGGGTTTCTCCGGCAATTGGTTCACTGGATTTTTGTCCCTTCCACTACTTTAGTAGACAAAGAAAAGATTGGAAGGGAAACAGAAGCAAATAAATATAAATTTAAACAGTCAGTAAATCAATATATTCATAAATAAACTAAATCTCGGATTTTCTGTATGGAAAATCCCAGAATTTTAAATCCAGGCTAACCCAAGTTCCTAATTGTCTTAACAGAAGCTACCCAGAAACAACTTTTAATAAAAAATAAAAATAAAAATTGAAACGTTTTTTCTCGGCATCCAAACAGCAGAAAGCCCAGAACAAAAAACAAATACCTTTGCGGGTTTGGAGCTCTTCGCTTGTAGGTGTTACAGTACTGGTGCTGCGTATTCTCCCAGACGGTCAATTCGTCGTCGTTTTCGTTGGAAAGAAGCGGAGGTGCGGCTGCTGGGTTGGGTGAAGAGGAAGAAGAAGAGGAGGAGGGTTTGAAGAAGGCACTGATCTTTGATTGCATTGCATGAATTCGTCGGAGTTGATTTGAATTGGATCTGATTTCATTGCGCTTACCTCATCATTGACTTTGATTTTGGCGCCAAGAAATTGGGGAAATTGTGGGATTGAGTCAATTTTCCCGCCTAATTTATTTCTTTGGGCCTTCTGTTCCTTTTGAAGTAACCCTAGAGTTTTATTGAATTTGATCACTTTTTATTTTGGAATACTTTGGATGCAGTCATTAATCCTTGACATTTTTTTATTAAAATCTTAATAGTATTCAAAGTTTGATCAAAGTCCTTTGACTTTGTACACCTCATTATATTACTATTAATATTTATATTTTTATAGTTTTGACATTAATTGTTTGATATTTTATGAGATTTATAATCATATAAATTTAAAATTCTTCATTATAATACTATTAGAAACAGTTACAATAAAAAATTCAAACATTTTGATTTAATAAATGGATAAAAACTATGTAAAAATAAGAATTAATAAATGGCAAAATAATGTATCCCTAGTGTTAAAAAAATTTGTACATTTTACAAAAAAAAATAGGTACATTTCAAATATAACAAAGTGGTACATTAATAAAGAATAATGGGTACATTATAAATAAATTAGGGTACAGATAAAAGATTAAAAAATTATTAGTACAAATGAATTTTTTTTTAAATATAGGTGCTAAAAGAAATTAATACATGGGTACAAAATAAAACTAAAAAAGAAAATACTACAAATTTAAAAAAAATGTTGCAAATTAAAAGTGGGTACAAACTAAAAATATAAATATATGATATGAAGTTTAGGCATAAAACATAAATATATCATATGTAATTTTTCTATCATTGATTAAATATACAATGTCACATGATGGTATATGACACACCCCGACCAAAATCAAGGCATGATGGCCGTCACGTGAGGGTGACGTAGCCATGTGCACAGTGCGGAAATAGTAAGGATAAGAAATATATGAATAATTAAAAATCAAAACTACTAGAGTGCATTAGAAAACAGGAAGTGTTAGGAGTAAGATACAAAAGTAAGTACTCCTAATCAGAGCATAGAAAGTCTAGGTGCAGTCCAGTAGGATAAGTACTAGTCATACAATACCATATGATGTCCTACAATTATTTTGATAAGTCAGAACCGCCGAAGTCCTCAAGCCACCAACATCAAGCTTACCTAAAACCTGGAGGGGCGCAAAACAGAAAACGTGAGTGGGCAAAAACAAATGTTTTATAAAACCATTTTATTTATCAACATATCTAACCCCTCGCTGTAAAACATGTATAATTTTTTCCATAATCAAGATCTAAGCATATACATAAATATATATGTAATCATATCAATTCAAATCATGCTTCATATAATCATATTCATATGTATGCCATGCCAAGATATAACAGGGCAAGCAATTCAGGTAAGGATAATTTCATATAAATATAACAAGTTAGCCAGAACCCCTGTGGTAGTCTGTACGGCTGAATTCATAGCTCAACAGTCAATCTAGCTGGAGTCACTACACTGACCTATACGACACTATATTGCACAAGAGTTGGAACCAAATGACAAGGTTTGTATGACAATAATGGGTGTAATATAATCATGCTCAATACTACTCTCACATAATAGATGGGCGATAAATCGCTAGTCACCTATGAGTCAGAACCACCTAAGATGGTCTATACGACAGGACTGTGCACCTAAATTGGATCCAATATGAGCATATGGTCCAAGAGGTGACATAATAAACAGGTCTGTGTTATATCTCTGGCTAAATCACAATCACCCTAAGTGCAGTTTTATGAGCTCCACATTATTCAATCACATATCGCACCATTGATAATTCATATAACCAAACATAACTCACTTGAGTTTACCTGAGCGTCCACAGCACCACAATTATATATAAAGCATCATATACCAATTCATATACGAAATATAAATTCATATGCATGACATTTAAGGCATACTTTCATTTAAACTCATATTTCTGGGAAAATATCAAGTATATAAATATATACTGAAAACCAAAAGCTCACTCACTGGTATGTCGAAGGGTCGTAGCCCCCAAGTCATCCTTGAACAGGCTCATCCTCTGGATAAGTCTCACCTATATGCGAATTAACTATAAAAATGTTATTTAAATCACATAGACAAAACTAGCTAATAACTTCTCATACATAACTCAAATTGGGTATATGAATATACCACAGTGACCTACACAACCTCAGGATCATCCCCAAATTTTTAGAATAATTTTTGGACCACCCACGCGCCGGCCAAGGCATAGCAACACGCGGCGCCCACGCGTAGGCACATGCCAGGCACGCTGACGGAGTCAGTTAACGCCGTCAGGAATATTCCATCGAATCCATGCATATACCGTTAGATTCTTAACGGCATCAGCCAACGCTGTTAGCATTTTTCGTCAAAACTGACGAAATATTCTCTATCTTCTTTGGCGAGTCGCCGGTCGCCGGTGACTTCGTCGGTTTCTGGAAAACTAAATAAATTGTCCTAACTTCTTCATTTTTGCACCATTTTCAACATAATTGGTACCATTTTAAAGATCTCAACAAGAGGAACAAAATCATACCTGCCTCGACCTCCAACTTGTCAGAAATTCGCCGGAAAAAGCCTCGATAATTCCGGCCAAATTTGAAACTCTTCGTTATCACGATTCCGACGTCCAATTTCTTTAAACGAAGTACTCCGAGCTTCGTAAGGACCTCTTTAAGCTCCCTATGAGCTTGAAATTCCTGAAACAATCATATTTACGTCCACATGAACAATGCTAAATTTCTGGGTTACGGGTTCTAGGGTTTTTCGAAGCATTCACGTCCAAACAAAGGTACCAATGAACTCAGGAGGTTACAATGAGCAAGAATCTTACCTTTAAAACTTCGATTCGTGCCTGAAATGGAGAGTTCAAAGGCTGTCCGTATAGTTTGTACAGAAGTTGCAGGAAATTCGAGAGAGTGAGAAAGAGAAGTCCACGGGAGAGAGGGAAAGTGTGCGTGTGTGTGGTCCACTTGGGTCACCAACCAAAACCAAAGAAAATACCTTCTAAGTCCTAAGTGTCCCAAAACTTAGGAAAATTTAGAATTAATCCAATAAAACTTAAACTTAAACCACACCACCACATAACTCAAAACGTTCAAGGGTAATTTAGTAACTTCACGTCATCGATAAAATATTTCGGGACAGGCTGTGACAGTATACACATGGGTATAAACACAAATAAAACTTTAAAAAATTGGGCACAAAAAGAAACTAATATATGGGTACAAATTAAAAATGAAAAGAAAATTGGTACAAATTAAAAAATATTTGCAATTAAAAATAAGTACAAACCAAAAATAAAAATATATGATAAAAAATTTAGTCATAAATATAAATATACTAATTGTAACATTTTTAACACTAAATGAATATATTTAAAAATAAAAATATTTTATTATTCAAATAATTAATGATGTTATTAATACTCAAGGACCTTGATCAAAAATTGAAAATGAATAAGATTTTAATCAATGGAGTAACAAGAAGAAGGATGTTATTAATACTTTTTTATATGTTTTTAATACAATCATCATCTCAACGATCATATATGATCTCCCAATTTACGTATATTCGCATATATTACATATGACCGTTAAATGACGATTATATTAAATACATGTAAGTATTGTTGTCAATCACTTAATTAATTAGATGAATAATGAGTTACATTGCATACAAACACAAATTTCAGAGTTAATGAAAACTAAAGAGTTTTAAAGTGTTAAACATTTCACAAGCCAGTTTAGGGTCTCGGCATCTTTGTAATCCTAGCCAAAGGTTGCAAGCTTCCCTTGGTTCCACCTTGAAACACAAATCATAAAGTCTGACATAATAACAAGCAATTAAACCCGTAAGACGTAAGAAAGCTGACTAGGAGGATCTTTTATAGTAGTGAACTGTCGACTGACCCTTGATCTTCTAAGAATGATTCAGTAGAGAGCGAAAGCGAGAGTATGCTTGTCGGGACACAAAAGATGTGAACTATGAGAAGTTCAGTTGATTAACCATACGTGAATCATCTTCTATTTTGATTTTTGAGATAGTTATATAGGCCCTTTATGCAAAAGGATCTCCATTTTTTGAAAAAAAATGGGGATTAGGTGTGAGGCTCACTCTACATCGAAATTCAACGATCCAAACTGTCTATTTTGTAAGTCTCGATTCATATATCATTCTTGTAAAAATTCAATTCAATTAGAAACCATTTGCCTATTCAATTATCAAGATCAAATTTCATTGTTTCTTATATAACAAAATATTCGTTTATTTCTTTGAATCCAGTTAGATGTCTTAAATATTTCCGATTTGACTAATATTTTACAAGAATGGTCTATAAGGTACAACTTGAAAAATAAATGATTTGAATCGTTAAAGTTCAATATGGTATGAACCCCACAACTAACCTCCATTTTTATAAAAAAATAAGGATCCCTTCCCTTAATGACTTCCTTTATAAATCATAAATATATGAAGAAAATATAAATCTTTCGAGGGCATTTGGTTTATCATCTGCACCAATCTTGTTTTGTTTTTCTTCTACCTTTCATTTTTGTGTGTTCCTGGAATATTTTGAACTAATTTGTTATTTTGGAGAATTTAGTATGTTTTTAGTTGTAAATAACAGGATTAACAAAAATAATGATCTTGTCAATTACTAGGTTAAAGATAAGGAGTAAAAGTACAAAGAAAAACTATTCCTAAATCACCATCAATCTGTTTCAATCTTTCTACAACAAAATTGGACACCCAACATAGCCAGATATATGATGGAGACACTACTTTAGTTTCATACAACCAAAACCCGAAAAATATGCTACATGTTTTGAGACTCTTTTCTTCTTTTGCTTTTGATTAGTTACACTCGTTGAAAACCATGAGGTAGACACGACGGCCATAGGAGATGTGGATCCAGTCCGGGCCTTCGAGTACCTAAGCTGAACCAAGTCAAGGATTGACGACCAACATCAATCTAGAAGCCGTACTCCAGCTACTGGATCTGGACCGTCTGTTATCTTTAAACTCCTTGTACTTCCACCATGGTTGCGTATTCCTGCAACAACGGAATCAGATGCAGCGGACACTTATAGCTGTCCGGAAAACAAGTGGTTAAACTGTTTATCTAAAATTGGTCATTCGCTAATCATTATCCCAAATGTCTTCCAAACATTGTTCTAAAAATCCCCGTCTAGCGCTAACTAGGCCTAGGCTAAGCGCTAGGCGGCTGGTCATTGCCCCGATTAATGCTTAGGTGTTTGAAAATTAAGAAGGGCGCCTAGACAAGCTAAGGTGCCCACCTAGCCCGCCCAAACCTGCCTAGGTTGCGATTCACTAAGACAGAAAATAGATAACTTTCAATTTACATTTAATTTTTTTCAATAAATTGTAAGAGACTTGTTGAATACTTAAATGAGCACACAATATATGCTTGTTCCCCATGTTTTCATTATGTTCCAATACTTCATAATACACATGTCATTCTATTTTGTAGTTTATGATGAAATTATATATATTTTAAGTATAAATATACCCTTATTTACACAAAATATAATGAATTTACTTAAATTCGCCTAATCGCCTGCCTAAACCCCGCTGCCCGACTAGTGCCTAATGTCTTTTAGAACCTTTGCTTCCAAGTGTGATTTTAGAGCTACAAGGGCTAAAGCACATTCCAGAGCCATATACTCTCGTCTCCCTCCCACTGGATTGTGTGCACATGAAATATCAACTTCTGAATAGTCCTACACACTTTCATCTCTTTATTTATTTATTTGGGAGAGAGAGAGAGAGAGAGAGAGAGAGAGGGAGGGAGGGAGGGAGGGAGGGAGGAAAGAAAAGGTGGGGGGGTTGTGATGGTGGCTTAAAAAGGAAGCGGATTATTAGGACCCTACACAAATGAATCCTAAAGATGCTTACGAAGAAGAAGACTCACAACGCAGGTTACCTCAGGTTAACAACGTTCTTCTAGACTGACTGCATCTCACCGTGCAGTGTATTTATTACATTCTGTAGTCTACCAAGTGCACATTGCACCTTGTGCTTTTCTTCAATCGTCATGCTGATTTCCTCTGATGACTGCACAAATAAAGTAGAACAAAATTAAAGATCGCCATTTTTTTTCCAGAATATTAAAAAAAAAAAGATCTCAACACAAAGCGCACATGTAAGAGTTGAGTGCGTGGAAAAAACCAAATCAAACCAACAAAAGAATTACACCCGGGACAAAAATTTCCAGTTGTAAACTAGTTACATATAGAGTGACACATCAATTAGAATATCAAAGACTTTTCAATCCATAACGCTCTTCAAATTACAATTTATATATTTTTGAACATTGCCCCATATATCACTACGTATATCAATCCTTTCATCCACTGCATGCAGTACATACCATATGTAACATGTACATGTTGACTAGACATTGCACTGCAGTTACTCTCTTTTTAAACATTTATAATTTATAATAATTGGAATTATCACGGGAATGGATCAAATAATCAAATTCAAAAGAGGACGGGCTTCAGGTATGCTGCAAGGGGAAAAAAAAAATCAAGATTCTCTGAATATGCAGGGTTATGCCTTCATTGCACCTGTAATAACCTGATGCCTTCCATGATATAGTCAATCTCTGCCTTGAACGAAGATATGATTTGACAGATTTTGTCATCCATATGCATCAATTGAAGCAGGAAAACGACTGCATCTACCATACTTGAAATGTCAGTTGCGTAGTGGGTAAGATCACCAGTTACATGCAGCAAACTACTTTCAGTTATCCATGACCCCAACGTATTCAATACAAGATTCAGAAGTTTGTGACTTTTATCAAACAAGACAAAGCAAGGGATGAGATAATAACGACATGAACTTGAAGAAATGGAAACGGTGGTCTTCTTGTCATCTTCAACAATGCACTGCATCAGAAGGCAGAAACTTGAGAAACGGTAAAACTGAAACAAGGCCGAAGGACCTTCATTGTTTGAAATAGAATACTATGCACTAGAGCGTTATGCAACAATTTAAAAGTTCACGAAGAGGGGGCACAAAATGTAAAACAATACCACACGTCTACAAACATATAGAAAGCATTAGAGCAAGATATCTGCAAAATGTTCCCTATATTGATAATTATTGAAAAGACATATATAGACATCCCTTCCAAAACCCCATCCTCCAGACCAGCGGTAGTATGAGATTGCAAACAAAATTATATTTTGTTGGCTTTTTATTAGAGGACATGATATTTAAAGATTCCAATCCATCGATTCTTGTGTCGCAGCGTACAACTATGGAAGTATGACATGGTAACTAGCAACTTACAACACAAAGATACATTTGTACTTCATAGAGGTTCCTATTGGAAAACACAACAATTTAAGATGAACCTGTAAAGCAAAACGTCTTTGTGGATGTCTTTTCTCTTTGCCAAGGATAATGAGTCAATTATTATGCATGCATGAATTACTCTCTCTCTCTTTGTTAGAAAGATATTAAACGTACCGAGGCCAGCCTAACCCTAATCCATTATCCTCATTTTGGTTACATTTGCAGACAGCGTACCCAGGCCAGCCTAATCCTAACCCAATTATCCCACCCTGGACAACTATGTGCATGATATTAATGCTGCCTTGCATCTTCATTAATACTAAAAATCTAATTAATAAAGGAAACATAAAGAAAATCCTGAGTAACTAGTGAAAAAATAAAAAAGAAACCAAATCCTTGGGGGACAAGGAAATATAAGGTTATCCAAAACTAAAACTTTACTAAAAATCTTAAAACTTAAGCCTCTTTTCTTTGAAATGTAATCGAGCCACTAACAAATATGCAACACTGACTTGTTACTTTTTCCTACTTCCAGATATTATTCTTGAATGCATGAGCATTATTCTTTCTTATTTTGTAGCACTCTCGTTTCTTTGATTTTCTCCGCTTTAATTGACCCCTATCTTGTCCTACATCAATAACAGATATCAAATCTGAGCATCCCGTGAAAAAACTTATTTTCATGGGAAAGACAAATTTACATATGAGCAGCAGAGAATAACAGATTCAATAAATATTGAATTTCAGAAACCAAAAACACTGGAATCCTCAGTGGAAAATATTCCAAACTAAGTTAGAAGACACAAGAAAGTAAAAAATGGTGTTTGGGTGGTTAAGGCAGATGCTCTCCGAACAAGAAATGAAAGTTACCTGCACAACGTCAATCAGATACCGTGGAAGGATATTGCCAAGGCTTATAAAAGCTCTTTGGGAAATTATTGTGGTTTTAGAGTCCAGTGTAATAAGCGTCCTAAGCATAGCACAAATGTTGTCTAGAGGAGGATTTTGAGACTGAAATATGTACAAAAATCAGAATCAGGAAAAATAGATAAACTGTAACTTTCAGAAAGAAAACACAGGAACACACAGTAAGTTGACAAAGTTAAGAAGATGAAGTTAAAAAATAATAAGTTAAGAAGATATTGATGTAAAGAAAACAGAAAAACACAATAAGATGAAGTTATCTAGTCAACTCACCATCTGATCGAGTATAATTTTCTCTAGCATCTGCAAAACAAGAGTATTATCACCCATCTGTGACAGGCATGAGCAGACAATTCGGCTGAGTGACTTAAAAGTCCCTCGATTTGAGATATTCACATCACTCTCTCTACCAGGAACGATATTTTCTGCCATGATGAAGCCATTTTAGGTTTGGAACCCAAGCAATTGCAATAAAAATTATGCATATAAGTAATAAATTGGTTCTCTAGTAATACTAATATGAAGGCATCGGATCTTTTGGCAGAAAAAACAATAAATAGCTATAAATAGTCCAGAGCAGGAACTTTCTATCCCAAAATCTCAGAGCAAGATAATTTTTGTTCTGAAGCAGCCTTATAAAATGTGTTGACAAAGTCTTACACTTGCAATTTAGTTACCTTATTACGATAAAGCATGAAAAAGGATAAATCATTTGAAAGTCACCATATTAGTAGAAACTAGAAAACTTGAAATTTGAAAGTCATCATAAGATGTCAACCCGTGCAAATAGAAATTACACATACTAATACAAACCATGAAGAGGAGAAGAAATTCTGTCAGACGTACCTGGGAAAACTCTGAAACGGGAGAGCAAAGTGATCAAGAAACTAATGTGATCAACAATCTGAATATGCCCAGATTTATAAGCTGAATTCAGGACCTCTATGATTCGAAATAATACATATTGTTCCAGATCAGGACCTGCAATGAACAGGAAAGAGATAGAAATGTCACTTAAACAATCCCAATTTGCAAATAACTCGTCATACTTCAACAATGTTCACACATCACTGGAAAGCAGAAGAGAGAACATTCATCATTACTTCATATTGTTACCATATAACATCAATCAGAACAGAATCACCCTTTGATGTTTAATGGCACGTCTAACCCCCTATATATTTGGATTTAATCACTTAACAAATGAGAGTTACATTAAGACATGAATGGCAAGCATCTATGTTCCAGTTGATGGAAAATTACTATCATTCAGCCACAAAATGATGCAACAAAATGGTTTCTACATCAGATTTTAAAATGACACTCTTTCTAATGAAGAAACTGATGAGGATAGGATTTTTTTTCCTGATTCTTGTAGTAAAAGATAACTCTACCAACAAAACTACTGTGCAGAAAGGAACATATCTGGTACCCATGTGACTTTAACCCATAATACTTTTGGAATCCCAAGGTTCCTTTATAATTGTTATAACAGAAACAAGAATAGCTTGCATATTAATGGCACGCATGAGACATTAAAAAAGTCAAAATAATAACTATAGGGAACTATGTGCAGCATGCCAAACCTAAGCTGTCAAATCCATACAGAATCTAACCAAGGCAGAAATGAATAACTTACATAGGCAACAGTAAGCTATTGACTTCAGCAAAGGTGGACCCAAATTAGAGATATAACAGAGGCAGGAAAGAGAGAGTTCTTGAGAATCTCTGGGAAGCCTTAAAAAGGGACCATATAATACATTTCCTGCAAGAACAAGAGGCGGAATCATAAGAAACCAAGTTGTCTGCTGATGGATGATTAATCCACAAAGAAGAATACTAGTGTCTACTGAATGGGCTCTTACCATCATCTTGACTTATGCCAAAAAATTCTTGCAGTGACAATTGGATGTTGTCATATTCCCATGCAAAGGAAGAGTTCACTAAAGCACGTTGTCCCAGGCGAAGTAGAAGGTGCAGCACAACCTGAAGAAACATGCAATATAAGCCAGAACTAATGGGGTGAAAAAGCATAGGTGATGATAAAGACTGACTATGCAGAAAAACAAAGATGATAAATAATGACAATATTAATGAATAACGTCCTGACACAGAGATACGGATGCAAAACCTACTGTCTAGATTCTTCTGTGTCAATACAACTGTCTGTCTTACGAGGTTAAAAAAATGTTACCTGGGAATAGTATGGGTTTTTATCATCCAGCAGAATAAGCAACACAGGAAGCTCTCTTATCCACGTAATCTGAAAGTCTAATATCTCGGGAATACTCGGATCCAGGTACAGCATGTCTTGTCTCTATGATGTGTAGAAAATATATCGAAATTCAATTTGAGAGAGAGAGAGAGAGAGAGAGAGAGAGAGAGAGAGAGAGGAGTCTGATTTCTTACTACCACAAGTATACTAAAGGGAAAGAAAAAACTTGGAAAAATTGCAAGCAGGAGGTATAGAATCAAGCTTACAGGAACTAGCAGCTCCTCCAGTACAGAAATACAAGCCAATTTTAAAGGGGATACAGGATTGCAGTCCTTGAATGCCTCACTAAAAGCCTGCATTTAATGATATATAGGTAACACCATTTCCAGAAGTTAAAAGACAAATCATTTAATACCCCACTACAATGGTTTGTGGAAATTGGGAACCTCTAATTGTTTTAGAACCAAATCTAGAGTTACACAACCATTGAAGTACTTAAAGAAAAGAGTAAAGACAATCTTATAAGGAAAAAGGAATTCCGTTGACATAACTCTGCTGATGATAAACTCTTGGAATGTAAAATAGTTTTAAGCACAGCTCATACCTGAAGAAGGCGAGACTTCCAGTCAACTGCCACTTGAGAAACAAGTTTTGGAACAAAAGGAAGAAGTGAAATTAAATGCTTCTCCCAGACTGCCTTACCAGAAAGTGTGTCATTGCATACCTGTAAAGTAACAAGTTTCCAACATTTTAAAAGAAGCTTTACAGAAAGTATTAGAAATGTAACCTAAAACATAACAGTACAAAACTATTAAATACAATAACTAAAATTGAATGAAATTTTCTTTTATAAATAACCACCATGGCAAGTTCTAGAGCATAAATGCTTTCTTCAAAATTTGATGCTGCAAGTAACAACCTATCAGTTACATTATTCTATTGAACATAATATGTCTTAATTTCTAGAAAAACTACATCAAGCACCCACCAGTATTTGAGGCCCAAACTATCATGGCAAAATGTAGATCATAAACTTCTTTTTACCTTCAAAACGTGATGCTGTGGAACAACAATCCATCATTTACATTATTATATCGAAGATATTATTTTAATATACTTTTTTCAAGGCAAATTACATCAAGCACCAACCAGTATTTGCACCCCAAATTAACCCCCACCTTTGTGCTTAAGGGGAGGATGTGCCATAAGCCCTGAAGGCCATCATCGACATTATTAATACACATTAGCAGAATGCAAATCATTTTATTTTTTTTGTCAATATATGAGATTATTTTATATTTCAATTCATTGAATAGAAACATTCAAATTACAATGCTATTATACTTATAACCACTTATCACACCTAAATCAGCACTTCTAAGAAATACAAAGCACATGATGCAGAAATTTGAACAGCATGAATGCAACTTCCTACTAAAACATTATGGTAGACGAACCAACCTTTCCAAGCAGAGAATCTTCCAGAAATTCTAAAACTTTCTCAAATAAAACAGGAGGAGGGCAGATCCATTTGCTTGAGTGCAAAAATATTTCTGTCATCACGGTGTTCAAGACAAAATATTTAACATCATCCTGTCAAACAGAAATAGAAAAGAACCAATTCAAGTTAAAAAGAGAACTTGTAATACTGGCAACAAAAGACCCTCATAAAACGTGAAATGAGTTACTACAGACACACAGACACACACATCTACAGCTAAGAATGTGCCTCACATAGTAGACATCCCTTTCTAAGATATTTGGTGCCCAAATAGCACCTGCCCAGATCCTAAAGTTTGAAATTTCCCCCCAAGAAAAAACTCTAGTATATGATTCTTACTACACACTCAGGTTTCAAGAATGTAAGAGCTGCCAAGGGGTTGGCCTGATATAATCCATAGAACAAGACAGACTTATGGAAACATGACCTTCTATGAAAATGTCAACATGTTCAGATACCATTAGATAGTAATAAAAACTCCAAAATACTGAATCGAAATTGCAAGACATACAAGAAATATCTTAGGTGAACAAAACAGAAGAGAAATTGAGAGAAATGCAAGAAATTCTAAGATGAACAAAATACAAAATGTGAAGGTCAAATACACATTATTCATTGCATTTGTACTATAACTTTATACCAATTTTATTCAAAGTATAATATATCATTATCAATGAAATAACAAGGGTCTGAAAAAATGGAATATATCAATGAAAATATTGACAAATACATCGATAATGAGAGAAATTGCAAATGACGGAAATTTTGACACAAAAATACAAATATAAAATATCAAGCAACACATAGGCTTCCATGCTTACTAGAGTATTAAAATAGAAAGACCATAGAACGGATGCAAAATAAAGTGAGACCAGTCAAGAGACTCTTAAAGAAGTCATTTTGCAGAAACAATGATGAATTTAAAAGTTATATTAAGGTTATAACTTATACCTTTTCTGAAAGTTGATTTCTCATGTTCAGGGGAAACAAAACTTGTAAAAACTTCTTTACTAGTGTCACAGAGATAGTATCACACATAGTCACACCATGCCCCCCTTGAGAAGGTTGTGATTCTAGTTTACCCTCATCAGTCATATAAAAGAAGAATTTGACTGCAAGGTTTATGCTGTTAAGTATGGACAGCATACAATCAAATGATTGTGTATTAAGAAGAGAGCCAGTCTGAACTTCCGGAATAAAATCTTGGAAACAATTTACTAGAAATGGGACAAGATCCTTTAGTTTTGGGATGATGATTGAACATCCTACAAAAGAAAGCAAGATGACGATAGGTCAATATGAAAACGAAAAAGGTATTAAATAATTGGAAGTTCTTGAATTGCGGAATGCTTGTCCCACTAAACAGCAACTTATTAACACAATCTAAGTAACAAGCTAATATTATCAGAGTGAATTTTGATTTCTCCTGCTGTGAGAATGCTGCCAACTGCAAGGCATTTGAAACTAAGAAGTACAAACTAATAAAATTACATAACCAAAATAAGTATTATCATTCCAAAGTTCAGGAACTTCAACTATCAAACTCATATTGATCTTTGTCGTGATATGAGCCATGACTAGACACATGGTGCCATCCGAAGAACATAATCGATAATGACGTATAAACACATGCACCAATGTATCACATACCAGCAGATTTTGCAGGTACATCAGGCTCAAAAGCATGCAGTATCCCTTGTCCAGCACCATTCTATCAAGTAAAAGGAAAGGTATTACAAAACTATTTCATCAATAAGGCAAGAGACTAAAATCAGTAACTCAGAACAGTTTCTTCCTGATGCAATTATATGCCTAGATAGTTTTTTTTTTCCTTTCATTTGGCCTCTGATCACCACTATAACCCAAGAAAAAAAATACTCTCCCATTCAAAAATTGTTTGTCCAGCTTCAAAAGTCAGATCTCTGAGTATGAATAAAAACAAATTTATTTTCAAAAGTTTCACATGTGCAGTTGAGGCTACTTTTCATGGCTTTCTGACTGACACATGCTTTGCACCCCTTGTCTATACTAACTAAGTAGGGGAAAATGATGATTATAATAACAACAATAACAAAATTTAACAGCAAAGTTTCAAGAATAATGTGCAATGAAAGAATACAGCTGGAAGGTACAAGAAAACAAGCAGGCTCACGCTGCACGATACAAACAATGAAAGAAAACGTGCAAACCCTCCGGATTTTAAGAAAACTTAAAAATACCTTTTCACATGAGCGAGCTTCTCTCTTGTTACATGGCAAAAGCGACAAGCATAGTTCCAGGACGGCAAGAGCAGTCTTGAGCTTGCCCTTGTCCTCTAAAAAAAATTGGTTCCTCCGCAGAATATCCTCAAAGCTTTGAAGAATCTGTCAATGAAGCAATCGTTAAAACAACCTTAAAAGTTATCTTTTTTTTTCTTTTTCTTTTTTTTTTTTTTTTTTTTTTGAATCTAGTGTCTCCGGGTCTTTGACCCGACTACTCACTAGGCCACCCGCCTGACCCCACAACATTTGGTAGGCAAGAAACTCTAGCAATTGCTAGGTGGGTACCTTGAGAGGTGTCGAACCCCAGACCTCTTGGTAACAAACCAAGGGCCTGACCATTAGACTAAACACTCTTAGGTACCTTAAAAGTTATCTTTAAACACAAAAGAGAGCAGTAACACTGAAAATTTCGAGTTCATCTAATATTTAGATTCATTAACCACACAGACAGACAAAATCATAAACAATTGATAGGAAATAACGCAGTGGAAAATATAAAGGCAACCAAACAAACAAGCTCGCACACCCACCAGGGATAAAGTTTCGAACAAGAATATCTGCGTACAGGAATAACATGTCTAGTGGGAATAAGAAAGAAAGAAAGAAGATGACAAGTAACCTAAAGCTCAACATCTATAAGAACTTTCATGTTATTGAGCAGAATGAGAGCAAAGAAAACATGAAGAGAAGAGACCAAGAATTACAGAAAGAGCAGAATCTTGGAGAAAAAGAATGTTGTTGAATAAGGCCTCAATCCGTAACACTAGACCACAAAGTAGCAAACACTAGCCATAAATTACCATATAATGTAACTAAGAGACAGTGTGGAGTCTCAAAAGATGATTATCATGTAACTTCCGATCTTTGTGACAGGTACATAACTACCAGAATATGCCTAAAGTCCATTCCATTAGAATAATGCATAGAAGAACAACAAACCATATAACAGTTCATAGTTAATGACCAAAGCATAAATCAGAAATTCTACAGTTGTACATCAGAATAACATATCTAATAAATGATTCCAATGAAAACACTGCATACAACATTTTACAGCACAATCTTAGGATACCTTTTCAGCATTCAAGAAGAAGGAAGGTGGATGGTATTGGATAGCAAGCTCCAAAAATTTGAAAGCCATCAACCGAACATCGATTGCTAAATGTGTCATTGCATTAAATATATAGGCCATCATCAAGGAAATCAACAGCTCTTGATTATCCTGGACAAGAAAAGAAGGGGGAAAATGTCACATTAAATTCATTGGCTATAAACACCACCGAACTTAATGATAATAATAGAGAGATGATGACAACAAAATCTCAAAACAATGTTACACTTAGATGAATCCATATATACAATAAAAGCAGTGTAGATGTGAAACTACCAAATTGTTCTATTGTATGGAAGATGCATAACATTAAGAAAAAGTGAAAACTAGGAAGGAAAAAGAATAAGCCCTTCAAAGATAATTTATGTCAATTTCTATGAAAGAGACAGAATTAATTCCAGAAGTATGGCCTGGCAGTTTAATTTAGTGCAATGCACGGCAACAATTGAATAAAATTTGGCATATAAGACACATGTATCGTGAAAAAATTAAGAGGAAAATAGTGAAATTAACAACCCAAAAGTTTCTTGAACTGCAAATAATAAAAAATAATCATCCTTGTTTCGCATTAATACATATAATTCACAACAGGTTTTTACCTTGCTGCATTCAGACAAGAATAAAAAATTACCTCCTTACAGCCAGGTAAAATTACTGACTTAAAAAGTTGATATAGCGTATCTCGAACCAGCCTATCGTCATCGCCAATGCGTTCACGCAGCTTTTCAACAACAGCATACTTGTGCAACCTCAACTCTTCTGGATACCTAAGGAGTAAATCCTTCATACCCAATAATGCATCTTCAGAGAGAAATAACAGTAAGATTATTAGATATATACTATATGGTACAGAATATCAATAATGGGAAACAACTTCCTAGACAACATAATTATTGAAAAGGTCGTAACTTCTTCAAATTTAACACATTAAAACACAATCAATGTGCAGAAATATATGATCAACGATCTAGGTAATCTATTTCAGGTTAAAAATAGATTAATTCTCATATTTTGGAAGATACTATACAGCTGTAAGCGCTTTCATTAAGAAAATATTTTAAAATAACATTAAAATACCTTTACGAACTTTTGGGTTGTAATGAGATGTTTGCTGAAGAAGTTCTTTCAACGTTAAACCTTTCTTGTTCACTGCTAATCCTGCCTTCTCCGATGCCACACTCTGTTCGGGAAGAACAATTGCTGCTCACAGTGACCATTATTTAGTACTCATTAAGAAACTAGCACACCACGATATTTGACATCAAAATGGAAGCACAAAGGCAACTCCTTCATCGTGGCAAGAAAAAGTATTTCAAACAATCAAACTCTCATCCTTAATTACTCTCGTCACCCCCAAACAAACTTATTTTAAAACGATGACAGAATTTTCCTTTCAATGAATTAACGAAAATCGACAGAGAGTACAAAAAGCAATATCAACTCATGAATTTAAGAACAGATTAAAATCAAAACCTTTGGACTTAATTTCAGTATTCGTGGCGTTCTTTGGTGGCGGCAACTTTCTGCCAATCTTTCGCTTTATTTTCTGCAAAAATTGTAAAAGAAAATAAACATCAAATGCAAACAAAGTTTCAGAGGTTGAACTTCCCAAAGCAAAATGCATTCAAAACCCGAAATATCGATTACTTTGAAGTCGATGCCTCGCTTTTGCTGCTTCTTTGCCGGAGCCTTGGAGCGTGCCATTTATACCTACAGCATACACACAATAAAACGATCTTATTTAAGTTTTTGAACAAACTAATTACATTGTTTATTGTATGAAATACAATTCAATTGACGAAATTAAAGGCTTTGCTGATCATATTAGATAGTATCAAATGGCAATGCGGCGCCGTTTTCAGGCCTTCGCCAGCTATTAAGAACAAGAACTCCAGGAGCAGTAAACTAAACCAGCTCTCCGTTTGGCAGCTCAGAAAATTTGGGGAAGTAAAAAGGAAAATAGCAACTCTAAAAAATTAAAGAGAACGAATTGTTTCTCTCTTCCTTTGCGTACCTTTTTCTCGGCAACCAAACAGCGGGAATGGAAACAGTAAGCTGTAGTCTTCGAAGTGCCAAGCAACGAAGTTGAAGGAGGAGGAGGAGGAGAAGGGAAGAGAAGGTCAAGGAACAAGAAAGTGACAGTCACGGCGGCGAGGAGTAATTGCAGAGCGTTTTGAGGGGAAGGGGGAGTTTTGTGGAGCGGCGGAGAGATACAGTTCCTATTTTACTTCAATTGTAAATAACTTATTTTTATCCTAAAAATTTTATAATCGAAATTTTTTAAATTCTTAAAATTACTCAAAGATTATTCTTATATTGATTTTTATCATAAATAGTCCTTAAAATTGATTTTCATCATCAAGATGGTATCTGAAATTGAAAATCAATTAATGTAGTCCTTGAAAATAGATGTCGCAAATCAATGTAGTCATTCCGTCATAATTATGTTAAAATTTCCATTAAGTATTGATGTGGCACATAAATGGAGTCACAAGATTTACGGGTTTTTATCATAAATGATCCTTAAAATTGACTCACACCATCAAGATGGTCCATTGACTTAGCGCTAGATTCGGTTTTTTGGCAAAACCGAAACTAAACCGAAATTTCGGTTCGGTTTGGTTCATTTTTTTTGGGTTTTTTCTCAGTTCGGTTTTTTTCCGGTTCGATTTCGGTTTGGTTTCCGTTTTTTTATTTTTTATGTTTATATAAAATAAAAGCAAGGTCTAATGGTCTATGACTATAATTAGACCTGGCATTCGTGTCGTGTTTCCCGTGTTCGTATTGTTTTTGTATCATACCCGATATCTTAACGGATCGTGTCGTGTAACACTCGTTAAAATAAACGGGTAAAATGACCCGACCTAAAATTGATCCGATAATATTAACGGGTAATATAACCCGACGTGTTACCCGTTAAGGAAAATATATTTTAAAACAATAAATAATTAAATAAAAAACATAATACTTTTTTTGAGTGAAAAAAAAGGTTGCAGGCCCAAACTAATAACCCTAAACTTAAACCGACTTATTACCAAGGTATTAAATATCGGTAATATCGGAAATATCGGTAGTCCGAAAACACGGAAATATCGATGGAAATATCGGGATAATATCGATATCGATAAAAATTATATGGAAACCACAGAAATTGTAAGAAAAACTTAGAAATTTTTATTGAAACTTTGCAAGATGTTTATTTAGTCAATTATCTATTAGTTTATAACAAAAAATTGGAAGGAAATGCATTGCATGATGGATTTAACATTATCAAGTTGATTATATAGCGAGTTAACAAACATTGTGAGTGTAGAAAATATGTAGTAATTAATGAAAGAAGTTTAAACACACCATAATCATTTATATATAATGAATTAGTACAATATTTTACACTTTATACATTGCATGGTAAGATACATGAGTGACTTAGTACCACATAGAGTTCCTATGAGGTTCAAAATTTTCACTATCTTCATCATCTCTATATGTAGACTGAGTGTATTGTGAAGAGTAGTTATCAAATGATAAATCCCCAAAATAGTTTTGTATGTAATTGTTAACATGTCACCCATATGGATTCGAGATTGGTTGACGTTGTCTATAAGCAAAATCATTTGAAGATTGAGTCTCGGATTCTTTCCATGAGTCGCTCGATTCCATCCCAACAGGAATGGGTTATGAAGGGTAGGGAAATGGTTGGTTATGAGTATAACCATAGTTACTACTTCCCACTCCAACAGAGTCCGAAGTTCTAGATAACGAGTCATCTTCTTGACTTGACAAAATCCCATTGCCTCTTTCTCTACGAGTATAGTCCTTCCCTATGACACCAATTCCTGGTCCTACCCGCCTAGTACCATGGTCATCATCCTATGTTGCAGTATGGGCATATGACGGTTTGGTTCAGTTTCAGTGGGTTTTCTGGATTTTTTTGCAAAATTATTGGCACACACTTGATAAGCTCATATTTATATATATTTTACATAAAATTCACTTGTCTTTTCTTAATTAGTTCCTTATATTTTTGAGTTATTTACTATGTTTTTGTGTTTTGTGTGATTTATCAAGCAAATAAAAGAAAAGTAGCACAAGTGAGTTATTAAGTAACAAATTCGTCAAAACTGCCTGTGCAGATTAGCTGACTTTGGAAGCATGTTACGAATAGCTCAGAATGAATGAGAGAATGAGCCTTATATTCTTGGAAAGCTACGGATGTCAAATTTCTGGAGCAATTTACGGATTGTTAATATCATTCTTCTAGAAGAAGTTATGGGCATTGTAACACTAAAAGGTTCAGGAAAAGGCTAAGCAGATTTGGCTAATAAAGTGAAAAAGTAAAGGCACTTGTTTTGTGTTTTGCTTTGTCATCAACACTCAGCAGCAAATAGGGTTATGATTGCACTTATTTGGCTTTGGAGCAAGTGGAAATGCACAGCTAGAAGATGAACAAGGCACATGGAAGAAACATGGACAACACACACACAAAGAGAAAGGCATGGCATGGACAGTTTGACATGGGCAGAAAATGGGTGGATTGTTGGCTGAAATAATGAAGAATATGTGTGTGCAAATGCAAAGGAAAAACACACACACATGGGCAAAGGAAACACACACACATGACAGAAAATGGGTTGATTTGTGGCTGAAATGATGGAGGTCATGTGTGTGCAAATGTAAAGGGAAACATGGACATCACACACCCATACAAACTGCACATGCAAGGAATTGAAGTGGTCCTCTTCCTAAGAACAATTTGGATCCATCAAAAGATCTTCATTCACAAACACAATAACCTTGTAGTGACCTCCATCCATTTATCTAGCCATACTGCATCTCACCAATTCATACACTTTCATCTCTTAGCCGTGCAAATCCATTCCATCCATATATCCATACATCTCCTAGACACTTGTGCTACAACAAGGTGGTGAAAACAAAGATCCTTGGCGTTTCAAGCTTGGAACTTTGGAGCGTTTTAGGTGTACTTCGTTCTTGCTTTCAATGTCTACTCTGTTATTTTCTAATTTTGTTGCAATTATGAGTGGCTAAACCCCTATTTAGTTAGGGGGAAGTTTGAAGCCATGAACATGCTTGAGATTTGAATTGATTTCTTCAAATTGTGATTTGATAAGTTGTGATTGCAATTCAATTATCTATTTTATTCATAACTGATTCTTGTATGTTTATTAAGGATGCATACTTAGTTTTCATGCATGAATTGGATGCTAGAATATAAATGAGTTTCACCTAATCGTTACAAGTTTATATTCATGAGTAGTGAAGGTTTGTTTATCACAATCGCGTTAATTGAATTCTTGGCAATTGTATCATGCATTCATAGTTATAATTGTCTCGTCAACACTTATGATTTTCATTGAACGTAATGATCTCTGATTGTATCTCTATTATGCATTCATATAGGGGACTTTTAGAGAATGATTTGGGTTGTCGCATGCATTCATCCAATTCAATGAGTAAAGGAAAATCTGAGAGTTAATTTGTGTATCACGGTTAATCTGGGGTGTTGAGCATCATAGTTCATTGAAAAGCAATTGGAAATCAATTCATGTACAAGTGTGTCATGTGCGAAGAATGGTCCATCCATCATCTCATTTCTTAAATTCGCTTTACAATATGTCTAATTTTATAAGTTGTTTGTTCGTTTCGAATTAGTCAAAACCAAAATCCCCCTTTTACTTTGTTGTTTCAAAGTGTTAAATTTATATTTAGTTAGTGTTTTTGAGTGTTTTGATTCAAGTCAAAACCCAAATTTCATCCAAAGTTGTGTTAGAGTCAAATCTGTCCAGTAAGTGTTTTTAGGCAATTTTGAGTGTTTTTTAAGTTGTTTTGCGTCTTTCGAATCTGTTTTGAGTCATTTGAGTCTATTCAAATGTTTTTAACTTTGTTTTTATGTCTTTGAGTTAGTTTAGAGGTTTTAGCAAGCCCTCATAATCCCCCGTTTAGAACAATCCCTACTTGCATTTATACTACAATTTGACAAAAAGAGGGTTTAATTTGAGTGCTTAACTTTCATCGCATCAACACTCACACAAACCTAACATCTCACAGTCACAGGCACATTATTTTCACATCTTTTCACCTCTGGGTGCAAAATTATTTTCACCTCTTTTCACCTCTGCAACACTCTGCAACACACACACACACACACGATGCAACACGCACACACGCAAACGCAACAAGCACACACGCACACGCACACACGCATACCCAGAGCCTTTCTGGATCCTTCTCTCTCTCCCTCGGTCTCTCCATCTCCTTCACACGCACACACAACAAGTAGAACACAGAGCCTTTCTGGATCCTTCTCTGCCTCGGTCTCTCCGTCTCGGTCTCTCCCTCGGTCTCTCCGTCTCCTTCTCTCCCTTGGTCCGGTCTCTCCGTAGTTCGTCCATTATGCTGGGTCACCTCACCTCAGTCTCTCTCAAATCTCGAATCTCGATCTCGATCTGAATCTTTCCCTCAATCTCTCCATCCTTCTTCTCCCTCAGTCTCTCGAACTCGATCCTTCTCCGGTTCTCCCCCCATCTCTTCTCTGCAACTTCGCCGAGCACCATCACCACCTCCCCCCCATCTCTTCTCTACAACTCCGCCGAGTTGCTTGGGGCCTTTTTACGATCTCTCTACACCCTGGGGGACGTGATTTTGCTGTTGTTCAACTCGTACCCACCACCTATGGTTTCCTCCTCCCTTTCTCACCTCCCGGCGGCGGCGATGATGACGAATATTCGCGATAATATCGCTAATATCGCGATATTAGCGATATTATCGTGATATTTTAAAGATATTTTAATTTTACTCAAAAAAATATCGGCCGGTCAAAAAAATGATATTATTGGCGAAATATCGCCGATAATATCGATTTTTAAGACATTGCTTATTACTAATAACCCTAAACCATTCCTCAAATTTGATCTTCTACCAACATGTCAAATTGTGATAGACTGATAGTTTATAATGATAGATAATAATACATACCATATTGTCATATCTAACCAAAACATAAAAACGTATTTTTCTTTTAAGTATATATTTACATATCCAAAATAAAGCATAATAAAAAAAACATTAAAACATTACAAAATATCGAATGCTCAAAAGATTTGCAAAATTAAGAACATTGGAACATTAGAACATCTTGCACATTTTCTTCCAATCAAACCCTTCACTTTTCTGTGCAGCTGCTCCTTTGGCAGTGTCAAGGGCTTGAAGATA